TACAGTCCTTGGATAAAGGTGACAGGGAAAAGAAAGTGTGAAACCAGTCAAACTACTCATGGGAATGATTTTCAGAAAAGTCCTCTTTCATCTAAATCTGGGACTTTTGGCTGTAGTGATTCAGTTGGTTTCAACTTTTCACTGTGTTACCTGAGGACAAGGATCACTTTATATCTTGTAGAGGCTAAGCAAGGGCAATAACTCTGGACCTGGTTCCAAAAGCGTAGTAAAAATAACTGGTAAGTGGTTATGGATACATAGCCTACAAGTGCAGCTTTTTATCAGGTGGCACTTTAACAATGAAAGTAACTGCTTGTGCTGTTAATATACGCTTGCAGCTGCTATCTTATCTTTAAATCAAGAAGGTTTTCTCTTTTAAAAAATAAATAACAGATCCATCCCCTTGGGCAGCGAATGGAGCTTCCCACCATCCTAGGGTTTGCAGGGTGCTTCATATGATAAGGGCATGCACTTTTCTCCTCACAATGGAGGCTGAAAGGAGGTGGTTCGATAGATGGATGAGCACTCTTGGTTTCTACACATTTTATATCCTTTCTTATTTTAGAGGAGCTCCCAGAACAGCATCAGGGAGCCTGTGAGCTGCCAATGTTACATTGCAGGAAAGGGGAGTGGGGATGAGGCAAAGGGCAAATCTCATTCGTAAGCTCCCCTGGGAAATACGCACCACAGCATTTGCCCTTCAACAATCAGCGACAGTTCCTGATAAAATGCCACAGCTTGTTGTGGTAAGATTTTTAAGATGTTTGAATACAGGGTTAATTTTGGTAAGGAATGAACACAGGGAGGGAGCAGGGTGTGAGGTTCAGCTCAGTAAATGCCATTAACAGATACTTCAATAAATGACATTGAACTATCTGTTCAAAGACATTGAGCCCTACTGATAAGGCTCAATACATATAAGCAAGAAGCAGAAAAATCCAGTGCTTGGGTACCTGTGTGATCAGATCATCACCCACAAGGGTGGAGCTGTTCAGGAGAAACAATTGATGTCTGAGAAAACTTACAAATGACTAGATCATGGCTAGGGTTTGTGTAAAACAAAACAGTTTTGGCTTTTGCACTCCCAGGGCATGAAATCTAGGGTCACATGGCTGCCTTAATAGGCTACGTAGTTTGGTGGTTATTACTTTGCATCAGCCAATGGACCTGTGTTGTAAGTATTCGTTGCCAAAGGTATTCTCATTTTGGGCACAGCTTCTGCAACAGTGTTGCTGCAAGAAAATCCATTAGGGAATCATTTCTAAAGATGAAGCAGAGGATGACTTTCATTTTACTATGCAGAGCCAAAGGAGAGGAACACCATGTTCACAAGGCTGCTGCAGGAGACAGGCTATCTGCAGGATACTCTGTTTTAGTGAATCATCTCAGCAGTTTCTTCCAACATAAATCCCATGGAATGGAGGGCAAGAAATTAAGGATTTTCCTCTGCTAATGGAGAGCAGCATAGAAGCCCTCCTTGCCCTCCTTTACAGTAATCTCCCAGAGGTACATCCCACCTTGCCAGGGCACAAAAACACAATTTAAATCTTCCTACATTAGCACTAATAAGCCTGGCCCATGCTCCTCTTGTTAAATAGACACTTAATTCAAGGACTCATCAATAAAGCATTCCCAAGACATTTGTGCTTCATGGCATGAAGCAGAGATTTTCACTCTTTTGCCCATTGTGGGTAGAGGAAGAAATATCCCTTCCATGTACACAAGCACACATACACACACAGTCCTCTATATAGTTAACATGTAGCATCTGATATATAAAATGCATCATGTAGCAAAAAAAATAAAATATAAACTCTGAAGTATGGTCAAACTAAAGTTACATATAGGGAAGGAAAATACTTCAACACACCTTGAAGTGTTTTCAACACACTTTAGATACATCTGTCCTACTGGAACTTTTCCCTGAGTTAAAGTAGAATACATCCCTCTTACCCTTTTAGTGCTGTTTGGCAATGGTACAGCTTTAGTTTACAAAAAAATAACCCACACGCAGGTTAATCAAGCTTGATATTTTTTTCTGTTGGGGATATACATCAACTTTTTACTTCAGAGATATATATAGATATATATAGCAACCTTTGTGTTTCATAAATTGTTTGCCCAGCTTTAGGTGTGTTTTAGTCTATGTTTTTAGTAAGTGATATTTTGTGACTGTTCCCTTCAAATTATCAGGAAGATAATTTATCTGCTATGTTAGGTCACCAGAAACTGCCTTTGTCAGCCCAAACTGGTAAATACTTTAGCTGAAAAACATTCTTCAATACTTCAAAATTATTGCTAAGTTTTTTGGTTGTTTTTTTGGGGTTTTTTTTGGGCGGGGGGGTTTTGAGTACTGATTTTAAATTACACTATGGTTTTTAAAACGAGCTCCTTATCAGGACTGCAAGCTGCGTCAGCTTGCATATACATTATATTTTATGAAGCAGAAATAAATGTTGGTTTCCTCTGTATCTTAAAGACCTGAGTAGATGGAAAATGCACTGTCTGTAAATATTTTAGCCAATTTCTGAAATGCTCTGCAGGCTGCTACTTAAATTTTAGAGTTGGTAAATGCAGCCTTGCAAATCAATATTTTCTGAAAAATACTTCAATGTGACCTAATGATGCTGCTCCCAGCTTTCTTCATCAGGGAGAAGGAGAGTGAGGATGCATGTAATAATCTTTGAGCAATATGTTGTCTGACTTTTGATATCATTACGTTCGTGAAAGATTGGTTCAAGTTTGTTGCACACTCAGCAGAAAATACAGAAGCAATTTGCCACCCTGTTGTGAATTTTAGCATATCTTTCAGTAATGATGCCTGAGAATAGGAGAAGGGTTAGGTCAGAAATGTGCTAGCCAACGCAGCAAGCAGGGGGGAGAGGGGCACTTGGCATTCAGCAGATATTTGCACTCATCAAGGGGAAAGGTTATGTCAAAACCTTTTGACAGTCTCATTCTCAAAATTTCTCATTCTCCTATTATAAACTGCTTGTCAATAAATGCTAAGAGAAATTTGGCCTTTTTCTGCTGATGCACAAAGAATACAAAACATCTCATGTGAATGCATTATCTGCGCTAAGGTAATTAGAAGAGGCAGGCAGACATTTAGCCTCACTTTGTGACACTGGGTCCCCAAGTGAAAAAGCAGTTAATTTCCAGCACTCAAAGTTCAAATAAACACAGTAATTTGTACCAAGTTTCTTTTTTCTGTATGCCTGATCTACCAGATTTTCAAAACACAATAGGACAGGTTTTAGGGATCTGAGAGATGGCAGTCGGGAAAAGGCATTACAGTGTGTGAGAAAAATTGATTGCAGCAGCACTTCTCACAGCCGGAGACCGCAAGCAGCTCTCTGAAGAAGTCAGGGAAAACCTATAAGGATGAGCTGTTGTACCCTGTGCCTGATGTTACCTCTCTGTGACAGCTGTGGATGGTCATAACTTTTCCTCATCAAACAGCACCACAGCTATGCCAGAAACACTGCAGTTAATATCTGATTTGTGTACTGTGATGTGCATGCACACAAGGAGTTGAAAAAGCCTTTGAATGGTACCTTTGCTCTTTGGGGGGTTTGGTATTGCTTCCTTAATGATAAGCTTTCTTACTCCTGATGGAAGAGCAATCAACATATGCAATGATCAAAAGAAATGCATTGAACTACCATAGTAACAGTCACAAATACCTATCCCTGCATCCCAGAAATAGGACACTGGCAAAAATGCTGCTGGGGAAGCCAATGGGCTGGTATACGTTGCAACCACTTCAGTTTTTCTGATTCTCTCCTGCTTCAGTTCTGGGGAAAACAGTGTCTTAGATTTTCTAAAGGAAGATAAGACAAAATAAATACAATTAGCTAAACCACCAGCTCCATTTTCTTCTGAATATATACGCATTCATTTATGTACAGCAATATAAATGTTCTGCTGTGGGTACCCTTCAATCTTTCCTGTTAAAGATGTACAATTGTACTACATAGTATATATAAGTAGTATCTCAGTCAAGAGTAGGAAATGCACTCCTATATCTAGGAACATAACCTCTAGGAACCTTCTCTTTTGATAAATGAGTATTTGAGTACTGCTTGAAAAGTTGGTTTTGTAGTCTTTTCAGGAGTGGTTGATAGAAACCTATCTAAGATCAATGCCCTGGCTGTTAGAGTGATCCCCTGAGAAGGGGAGAAGATTTCAGTTCTTTTGTCTGGGTAGGTATTTGGTTCTCAGTTTACCAAATTGTTAGTAAATGTTCCAACCACAACCTGGAGACAGTGAGGCACTCCCATTAATTCTTGCTTTGTTTATTGATTACAACCCACTGTTTCCTTTGTTTTTATTAAAAATACCTGAAAAATAAATGTTTTCTAAGAAGTGGAATTATTCCCTATAACAGAAAAAAAGAACCTTTCTTTCACGTTTTTTCATTCAGCCACAGAATAACAAGTTTTTTAAAAAAATTTGCTAAGCAAAATATGCTTAGCAGGAGTTAAATTACATTAAATGCCAGTTTGAGAGATTATGCCTTGTACTGGCCCTCTGTTTAGAAATCAGTTTTAGTTTGCTGTCCTACGAGTACTGGTATGTGCCTTTTGCTTCATACCTCTATGCAATCTTATTGAGAACTGTGACTTGAAACACTGAGAAATAAGTGCCAGGAGCAGTTAGAGAAGCTTCTGCTCCCTTTCACCATGTCCCAGAGGCAAAGCTGGAGCCTTTTCCAGGTTTATTCTGTGACCTTAAGCAAGGCTTTTGCACCAGATCCTGAAATCTGCTGAGCTCTTTCTGGACTGTCCAGGAAATCCCACTGCTGAAAATCCGGGTGAGTCATGAGATGGCAGTGCAAGGTATTTGCAAAAGATGTGGGGGTTTTTTTAGCTAAACAATGTTCTACTGCTGTTGATGGTGTTGATTTTACATATTCAGCACCACGCATCTGTTTCATTATGTTATTTCCAGAAACGAGGCTGTAACTGCAATAGCTCCTCTTTCCTCTTTTGTTTCAGTTCCACCTTTTATTCAGCCTTTTGAGTTCCCGCGTTTCTCCATCGGGCAGCGGGTCTTCATTCCCTGCGTGGTGGTCTCTGGGGATTTACCCATCACAATCACCTGGCAGAAGGACGGCAGGCCAATCCCAGCCAGCCTCGGGGTGACGATTGACAACATTGACTTCACCAGCTCCTTAAGGATTTCTAATCTTTCACTGATGCACAATGGGAATTATACCTGTATAGCTAGAAATGATGCAGCAGCTGTGGAGCACCAAAGCCAATTAATCGTGAGAGGTAAGTAGGTGTAATTAGTTTGAAGGGCACCAATTAAGCAGAATTCATCAGTATTTTGTAATGACATCTGTTTGATGGGAAGTATAAAAGAGATGAAAATATGGTAAGCCCTCTCTTCATAACAGAGAGCACACAGAGCAATGAAGCACAGAAAGTAATATGACATTTTCTATCTAAAAGTCTTGAAACTAATCAAGAACACTGGAGTGCACAGGGTGGATGAGGGAGCCACAGGATTGACTTCCTGAAAGATTTTATGAGGCACAAGCCCACTCATTCAGATCAAGTCTTTGAAATGCTATCAAATTCCTCACTTTTATTATTTTAGTCTGACTATCCCCATTTTTTTATGTAGATCAGCCTCTCATATAGCATTATGTCAGTAAAATGCAAAGCATTGATGTTGACTTCACGGAGAAAAGACTCTCCCCTGTTACTATATTGTTGTTCTTTTTCATATTTGTGTTTATTACACAATTAGCGTGATTCGTTTGCTCATGCTGACTTCACAACATTTTGCCTTGAAACAGAGGTGAAAATAGTTTCAGTAAGGAAATATTTTATGTAGAAAAGACCTTTCAGTAGCTTTTAACTTTCAAGTCACACTTTAGCCAAGTTCCCTAGAGATTATGCCTTGTGATACCTCTTAAACTGACTGTGCAAAACTTCAACAAAACCAAATTGCTTCCTTTTCTTTCTGAAAGTTTTTCAAAGTCTTTTAAATTTTAATTTTTCAAAAATAAGACAGTTATACTCTTCCCTCTCCACCATCTCCCTCATGCTATGAAGCTATTAGACTCCTTGGAGAAAAAGAGCATGTACTGCAAGTGACCCTGGTTGTTTCTGCCAGTTGCAGATAACTACATCTTATATCCCCTTCCATAAGTTTACCAAGACAAATCTTAAAACCACACAGGGTTTTTTGCCATCTTTTACAGACTTTTTTTTTCTCTCTCAAAAACTCATTTGAAGCAAAACTTCCTGAATGGCTCTTCCTTTTAAGTCAAATCTTTCCACTGTCCTAGGACTACCCTTAATAGATTATTCCCTGGTTTTCCATTTACAGAATGTGTATGCTTATTTTTTCAGTGCTAGTATTACCAAAACTCAGTGGCAAATAGGTCTACTGCTTTTTCAGTAGTTTTGATGACCTTAGTGGTCTAAAAAAAATTTGCTGCTTTTATTCTTGTGCTATTCAGTACAGATGTCTATTATTTTCTCCATCTATCCAGTAATTGTTAAAGTGGTTTAATTAACTACATGCATTTCATTATTCTTTTCTTAAGCTGTTCTGTTAGCTTTTAACCCTATCCATCATTCTAACAGTAAAAGATTTTCCTCACCTTCTCTTTTGCTGGAGCAGGGAAAGTTGACAACCTCCCATCACAACAGTCCACTGGCTATGTCTGCCCTATGCAAAAATGCTGCATCTAATAACAGCTGAGATCATACCTGATTTACAGTTATACTCAGTGCTTAAAATGATGGGAATGAATCACTTTAGCAACTCTGTATGGGTTCCTATAGGCATTTCATCAAAACAGAGATGGTATTATGATCTCCAGAAAAAAAAAAAAAAAAAAAAAGACATAGGTAGTAGCACTGAAAACTGGCTCTCTGCAGACATGGTTTATCCTTTTTTCAGCATCGAGATCCATGAGGCTGTAATAGCTCAAGTGAGCCCACATGTAGGGATTTCTGCTCAGCACCTCACAGATCAGCACAAGCCCTGCCCTCCCTTAACTGTGTACCTGCTCTGTCTTGCCTGGACTGCAGCGTCCCTGCCTTCTGTTGTCGGCGGGCAATTACTTTTCTGGCAAACCCCTGGCTGGCCTGACCTCTGTTCCCTGGTCATGTCTGCCTCTTGCTGCCTTGTTTGGCATTAATTTGTTTTCCCTCCTTGCCCAGGGGAGGCGTTCTGGGAAGCCTGCTCTTGCACCCTGTTGCACTGCTGACACTGACACCTCAATTTTCCCCTTGTGTGTTGCTGTTCTAATTGCACCTCCTGATGAGGGCTCTGCCCCAGCAGTGAGATGACAGCTGTTGGATGTGTGTGTCTGAAGGGCATCCTTACAAACCCACGGGCGTGACAGAGAGTAGCTTTTCATTGTTTTACTCGGAAGCTTGCGGCCTCTGGAGCCCTAGTCCTGCAACTTTTTAGGAGGTTGTGAGGGGTTCTTCATTCTTCCCCTCTTGCCTATCTTTCTGCCCAGTTAGTGTTCTGCAGTAGCCTCCTTTAAGCCTCTGTCCTCTTTGCTCTTCTCTCTCTATGTCAATTTAAATAGTAATGTCTTAATCAGTTTTGCACATGCATCTGGGATAATAGCTCTCACTCAGAGGGAAAGGGGAAAATATAATACAATGTTTGACCTGAATTTTCTGCCAAAACCCTGGACTGACTTCTTTCCCTCATACTGAACTGCTTCAGTTGTCTCATTCCACACGTGTCAGAAGACAGACAGCCATCAGAGGGTCACTGTTGATCACTACTCATCTGCATCCAACCTGACCTATACACATTTAAGTAAAGATTTGATTTCCTGCTGTCTGTTTCCTCTTCAGGGTTTCTGATCCCTCCTCATCTTTTTTGTTCATGGGTGCTGTATAGCTGTATCAACTAAGCGGTTTTTCTCAAAAGAAGGGGAGAAGATAAGGTGCTTAAACTCCTCTTGTTTCTAATCCACATTGTGTGATGGTTTCTCAACAGTGTGCTTTAAACTCAAATGTTGGCTTTCCTAAATGTCAGGGGTTGTGTTCTGGGAATATCTTATTTATGTGAAGTGTGTGCATTTTTATATGAGGGTAGACAGTGAATAGGAGAGGAAAGTAAAGGGAAATATGTCTGTTTCCCACAAAATTCCTTTTTCCTTATCTATTCTGTCCTTGTATTTGTTTTAAAAGTAGACTTAAACCCATGAAGGCTACAATGTTTCCAGAATAAGTGGGATTCCATACCATTTTACAGTACATGAGTAGTCTTAGAAGTAGAATCTAAATTTTGTCCACTCCTAGCATGAATGAAGAAACACAGGCCAACTGCTTGTTGCTACATTTTAACTACAAGTGAGTACACAAACTTCTGCAGAATCAATACAGTCATATAAATTCTTTGGCTTTATAACTTGGGGTTTTTTCGTCAATATTTTCTCTGTCAGATCACATGTATCTGCTATTTTTTTGCATTCATACTTTTCTGTTAAGTTTTAAGTCTGCAAATAGAATTCTTATATTCTTTCTACTAATATTATTTTCATATCTAAGCTGCACTGTCATTTTGCCAGGAGCATTAAATAGCAAAAGAAAAATAAGCACTGGTCTCTAAAATCTGTGGCACTTTATGGTAAATCCTCACTGCTGTTCCCATTATTTTGTGCTCTATAAAAGCAACCAAGTGGTGATAAGAAGCCCTAAAAATACCTGTCCAGCAAGGCTGGATTTTCCTTGCTTTAAATATCAGAGGAAGATGACTGGCTTCCACAGAGCTTCCTTGCAGAGCATCATACAGGAGATGGAAGGCACCTGCTGAGAGAAAGGAAGTAAGAAGAGAAAGCTTTTGAGAAGCTGCACAGCCTTAAGAAGATCTTACGGCAATCTCAGTTCTCTCTGCCATGTGTTTGTTGGTGAGGACCTGGAAATGGAATGAAGTAACACATTCTGGACGTAGATCTGTCAGTACTTCTCTCCCCAATTTATTAGCCAATTTCAGACAAACCAGAAGAAGGGAAAATGCATCCCTTGGAGCTGAAACCCTAATAACTTAACAAAAAGAGGTGATTGATTAGAAAAACCTTTACTGAATGTGATACTAGACAACAGAGAATCTACTCAAGCGAGGCCTTCTGCAAACACAAGAAATTTTCCAACTGGAGTCGGTACTCAATGACAAGATACAAATCCAAAGAAAAACAGGCTGTTTAGTCCTAATGTTTACAGAATATCTTTTAAAAGGTTATTAATTAGTTACTGGGAGAAGACCACCATCTTCACTGCATCTTGAGACTACAGGTAGGCAGTCCAAGTGAGTGAAAACAAGGCTTTCCTTCTCAAACTCTCTGACAGATCCTGGCCTGCAATTCCTCTAGAATGCAACAAAAAATTGCAGGCTAGTAGGAATTCTCAGAAACTCATAAGTCATTATAATTTGATTATTTTAATTCTTGTTGCTCTTCTGGTTTGCCAGGCATGCTATTAAGAAAAAGGAAAGAATAGGATCCTGTCATGAAAGCTATCCATAGGAATTAGGAAAATATCTTCTCTGTCAGCTACTTATATCATGTGTGGAATTAATTAAGGATTTTACTCATTAGGGCTGTCTTCTAAAGAGTGATTAAAAATCTGTATACACTGTATCATATGTTATTAATTTCTGTAGGGTTTCCTAAAATGGGAATGAAGTAATTATGAAATAAAAAGCAGTGAAAAAGATATTAATTGGTAACCAAAAAGAAAAAGCTCATAAATGTATGATGAGTTCAAAATTTTTCAGACACTGCCAGAAAAGAAAATTCAAAGATAGTGGTGGGTACATAAATCATAATTTTAAAATTCCTATTAGTGAACACATCACAAGCTAAAATTGAGATAAGGTTTTTAAATACCTAATAACCCCCTTTAATGCATTTAGTGCATTAAGTGTAAATGTGTTTTCATTTTGTGCTTGCCAGGAATGTCGAATATCATTAGATAGTTAGGCACCCAATGAGGAGTCCCTGAGCCTTGAATCTTCCAGATAGGAGGTATTTGTCTGCTTTCTTGTGTTTGGTGGTGGTGCTAGTGTGATGCAGCAAATGCAGTTTGTGATAAAAAAGGGGGAAAAGATTTATGGTTGCAGCTGGTGTCAAAAGTAATTTACTTTCTTTGCTAGTGTTTACACTGCAGCTTTGAAGATTATTCTTGAATGATTCACTCCTATTTAATGTTCTCATTAGTCAAACCTGATCAACACAAACCACTAGGCACTGTCCCATTTTGCAAAAGTACTTCTTTTTTCATGAACTACT